CGCTCACTGGCTGAGCGAGGTACGGGCGCGACACCGAGGGTTGCGATCCCGTTACCGGTCAGTAAAAAAGACAAAAAGGAAAAAAAAAAAAATAATAATGTCTATGCAACAGTAGCACTGTTAGGATTAAGTACATGTTCTTCCACTCACTTTTCCCTAGGACTGTGTCAAAACCAAATGTTTTACACAGACAAAATTTGTGTAATACTGTCTAACACTATTCTTTCAATACCTAGAGAGGAGTTACACTGTACACAAGTACTAAATATAGCTTATCAAGTAATACAGTACGGTAAAAATTATCCTAGAAATTACTTATACTTTTCATAAAGAAGAGTAATCGTGCTTTCAGTTTTCAACCCTGTTCAGAATTCTTGTGCACAAACCTTAGGGCTTCAGTAGAAAAAAACCAGAAATAAATGCAGTTTTCTAGACACTGAAATTATCCTGTCTTTAAGATAACTTTCAAATTTCTATCCTTAAATGGGAGATGAGTTAGGAAATTCCAAAGTGTTCGTACTTCTTGTGGGATTCACTCAGGTGTTTCAAAACTAAGCCTCCATATTTTAATGTAATTATCTCTCACTATCTGAACTTTTCCTATCCAAACTCAGAAACCAAATATATAGCAAGCAACAGTTACATGTTTGTTTATTTTTGAGCATTCCATGCTAAGAACTTTGGCTTCCAGCCTAAATGAGATAGATGCCATGGAGAGTTTTAAGCAGCCAAGTAACATAATCTGACCATTGTGTCAGAAATATGATTCTGGCTGCAATGTTGAGAACAGCCTGGAAAAGGAGAAAAGGCAGCAAAAGTAGGGAGATCAGACAAAAGCTAAGATAGTGACTTGTATGAGGGTGATAGGGGTAGAGGTGAGAAGAAATGATCACATTCTTGCTATATTTTTGAAGGTAGAACCTACAGAACCGGTTGGTGGGTTGGGTGTAGAGTAAAAGGAAACAAAAAAGTAAAACATAACATTAAGGGTTTGATGTGATCAAGTGGTAGAATGGCATTGCCCCTTATTGAGAAAGAAAACACAATGGAAAGACCAAGTTTGGGGCAGAGATGAAATCAGGTGTTCAGCACTGGCCATATTAACTTTGAGATGCATAGCAGCAATCCAAGCAGAGATGTATTAAGTTGGCAAATGAGTCTGAAGTTCAGGGAAAGGCTAAGGCTGCAGATAGAACTCTGGTGGCCACTGAAGTTTAAATTAAGAACAGGGCTCTGGGTGCTTCTGTTTAGAGTGAGGAAAGAATAAGGAAGAACCAGTAAAGGAGACTGAGAAAGAGTGGCCATGTAGGAGGAGAACCAAGAGAATGTGGTGGTCTGGAGAGGAGTGATCAATTGTGCTTCAAGGCGGGAGGAGTGCCCAAGTGTGCGATGTTAAATGAGGACAGAGAAATACCCACTGGATCTGGCCACACAGAGATCATTGTGTTATTTAGGAAAGACTGATTTTGGTGAAATGGTGGTAGTCAAAAGCGTGACTGGACTCTAGAACTCAAGCTTCAAATTATTATACTAGGTCTAAAAAAATTTATTTTTTTACTAAATTCTTATAGCTTTTTAAAATTAAAAAGTCATTATTTTATAACCATTTCACACTTGCCAATTACAGAGAACCTCAGCATCATAGTACGTTTTATGAAAAGGCCACTTAAACAAGGTAAGTTATGAGTTTAACAATTAAACCACACTGTAAAATCTTTTCTAATAGAGGGGGAAAAGATAAGACTAAAAAGCAAATCTTACCATCTGGAGTGCTTTTTGAAGACTTTAAGGATTTTTCTTGATTTTCTATTATCCTGTCAAATTCATTTAACAAGTTTCTTTTGATTGGGGGTTCTCCTAAAAAACATTTCCACACATTTTTTTAAAAATCATTTTTAAAAACTAAAGTACTGACTCTTACAATACGTTAAACAAAAAATATATAATAATTATAATTTAAATAGCAACCATTTTACTGTGAAAGAGAAAAAAATCATTTTTAAAAACTAAAGTACTGACTCTTACAATATGTTAAACAAAAAATATATAATAATTATAATTTAAATAGCAACCATTTTACTGTGAAAGAGAAAATTCATTTTTCCATATAAATTTCATTTCCATTATTTTTAAATTTTTTTTGACCATTTAAAAAAACACTATTTAATAGGATCTTGGGATAAACAGATGTTACCAGATACCACAGATAAGCTACTTTTTAATATACTAGCACTGAATGTAACTCTAGGTTTACTGGCAATAAGGAAAAACAAAATTTCTTCAAATAAACTTTTTTTGGGAGGAGTACTAAACTCAAAAAGGAATTTATTATACAGGTCCTTGAATTGCAATCTGTGAGTAGGAGTAGATTTTTTAAACGATCAAGTTACAATTAAAATATTAGTAACACGTCTTATTTAAAAATTCTACAGAGGCTAAGAGGGTACTATTAAACCAAAACTCAAGTTATACATTTCCATGTCATGCTGGGATAATTTATGATAACAGGCACTTTGCTTTTTTGATGCTTTATTACAGGGAATGAATTTGTAAGATTTAATAAGTAAAAATGTCCATGCAAGGACTTATCAGGTGTTAGATCATTTCTAAAGTGGTTTGTTTAACAAGTACCTGTACTGTTCGGATAGCAAGACACTGATTAAGCTATATACTTACATATATAACAGAAGTGAGGAAAATTAAATAGTAACACTGTTGAGAAAATTTAGAGATCTGATTTTTTTTTTCTAGGCAGAAGGCCAACACACTTCAGTTTTCCACAAAAGAATTATGACCATCTTTAAGCATATGCACTTCAGAATTTTGTGTGAAAGGACAGCAAATAGTCTAAGTATTATAACCTTACTACTTTGCCTATAAAGTAAACTCTATATAGAATGTGACCTGGATAACACTTGATTAAGTAAATCTGTATTCCACCAGCACAACTTAAGGGCAAAAGGCACCAAGTGGTAGAATGAACTGATCGGCTTCTGTGTCTTTATAATATGAAGGAATTGAACAAGAAGACTTCTGATAATTCAAATAATCTATGAATCTATAGGTTTTTAAATGGAGCTAGTTATTTAAGATCATCCACTCAAAAGCTGAAGAGTTAGTTTTGGCATTTACTTTAATTTTAACTAATCAATAGATTCAATTATTTAAGATTATTCCTAGTCAGAGACGCTAACAGGGAAAAAACTCCGCACACATCCAATTAACCTAATGCCTGAACTAAGTTGTTAGATACACATTTAAAAGCGAAGTTAGAATAAAGTCCAAATAGCATTAAGATCAGGAGACTATTTGCTAATGGTAACTGTTTTTAGAATATTTACTAAATGAAAAAAAGGAAGCCAACCCTTATTGAATGCTCTCTGCTCTATTATGGGTTAGGTTCATTTTTAAGTGCTTTAGATACACAATTTTTATTTTTATTTTATTTTATTTTNAGGGAATGGAATGTGGGAGGTGAAAAGCAGGAGAGCAGGAGATGTGAGTTATGAGGGGTCTATTTCCATGGGTCGGGTATAAGGTCTTGCCAAGGCCTCATGTGGTTTCTGTTCTCATCTTCACTGTTATCTCAGAACCTTGCAAGATTTTGATTTGCGCCAGTGTACTTGGCTGGTGCCCAAAGTCAGCTTCCGTCATTTGGCCTTGATCATTTCTCAAAACTCTACAAGTCTCAAAGAAGAACTGTTAGCTTTGCAAAGTACTAATTAGTTTCTCGGCCTTGTTTTCCTACTTAGCGAGCGAGATAAGAAAGTCAGGGTATGGGACGCAAGAGTGGAAAGAAAAAAACTGTCCTTTTTAAAATCCTCCCCCCCTCCGCAGCCCAGGCAGCTTTAGGTCCCAACATGGCTTCAGTCCTGCTCACTCCAACAATTCTGCCTTGGTCTTTGCTGTGACCAGCCCACATCCTGAAGCTACCTAGGAGCTGCCAGCCATGCTCACTGGCTGAGCGTGGTGCTGACAACACCAAGCCAAGGGTTGAGATCCCCTTACCGGTCATCTTGAAAAAAATAAATAAATAAAAAAATTGGAAAGAAAAAAACTGTCCTTTTAAAAATCCTCCCCCCCTCCGCAGCCCAGGCAGCTTTAGGTCCCAACATGGCTTCAGTCCTGCTCACTCCAACAATTCTGCCTTGGTCTTTGCTGTGACCAGCCCACATCCTGAAGCTACCTAGGAGCTGCCAGCCATCAGTCAACTCATTAGCATTCAAAAAGACACATCACTTTGGAGATTCCAAAGACTTAAGAAGTTGTATGCCCTGAGATGGGGACAAAGACCAAATGTATATTTCACAATATTACAAAAATATAACCTACTTATGATGGCCCACAGACCCGGTCCCCACAGAGCCATTGGAGGATTGGAGTCCTGTGCCTGGCCCACGTGTCTGTTTTCCCAAGGGCCAGGACTGCTCGGTTTTTGCTTGAGTGAGTGGGCTTCAAGGGTTAAAAGTTCACCTGGACTGGAGGGCCATGCCTGTCTTGCACTGTTCTGTCAGTCTGTCCCCCAGGGGTGGGGGCCATGGGGACCATTCATTGCCTGGCATTAATCCCTTAGAGAGAACAATAAAACTCTTTAAAGTAAAAAAAATTTATATATATATATACACATACAATTGAAAAATGATTTTAATATAACATTCCTAACTTTATTTTTTATTTTTATTTTTATTTTTTTATTTTTTTAAAAGATGACCGGTAAGGAGATCTCAACCCTTGGCTTGGTGTTGTCAGCACCACGCTCAGCCAGTGAGCAAACCGGCCATCCCTATATAGGATCCGAACCCGCGGCCCTGGTGTTACCAGCACCGCACTCTACCGAGTGAGCCACGGGCCGGCCCCACAATTTTTATTTTATCGTCATAAGTACCCTGTTGGAGGTATTATTTGAATTTTATAGATAAGGAAACTAAGGCTCAGAGAAGTAAGTAGTATAACTAAGTTAGCAGTTATACTACCAAATAAGTGGTATAACTAGAAACCAATTTTTAAAGTTTGTAAGAGCCAGAGTCTGAACCTCCGCTATGAGGGTCCTTCAAAAAGTCCATGGAAAAACAGAATTAAGATAATATGAATCTTTCTACAAACTTTTTGAAGGACCCTTGTATATGTAAAAAGTTTATAAGTTAGTGTTACGTAGACTTTGTTATGAAGAATTTCAACTTTTCTACTGCAACTCAAACTTTTAACAGTAATTTCTCAATTATAACTATATTAATAATTTCTAAAAATACATTGAGACCCTCAAAACATGATTTCTTGGTACAAAGACTCAGAAATATCAGGAGTCAAATCACACTACCCCCACACTACACTAAAAACCTGAAAAATTATACTTAGCTTACAATACTCTAAATGCTAGCATATCAGGACTATTAACACTTTGAAAATAGTGACTGGCAAACCAAAACTTAAAAATAAACACTTACCAACTGAGATAAGGGCATTTCCTCTTCTTTTTTCAATCCTTGAACTTAACAAAACCGTTTTCTCATTTTCTGGGCATGTAAAAAGAGAGTGCTTGGCATGACTTGGTGGTTCAGAATCTGTCAGCTCACCATCTTCCATAAAAGCTTTGGCAATCTCTACTGCTTCTGTTTCAAAATAGTTTTCTGGATCTTCGGAGTAAGTAGAACAAACTTCTATATTTGTTTCCACAGGAACATTAGAAAAAGTTTCAGTTTTACCAATTTCAATTTTTATGTTTTTAGGTAAAGCTTGTTCTTTTTTGAAAAGATGAACATTCTCAACAAGTGATACTTTGGTCCCCAATACCAACTGTTGTTTGTCTTGCTGAGAGAGACATGGAGACGTTTTAATAGAGTGATTATTTTCTGAAGAATCACTTTCGATATTATAGCTATTTGATAATCTAAATTCTTTATTGTAGGCTTTTTCCATTTTAGAGTTTCTGGAGTATTCTGAGGTTCTCGTATAAACACAAGGAAGAGGAAGTATTTTTGATACATATTGTCTAGATACAGGTGAATGCCGAAGACTGTGTTCAGTTCTGATTAAATCAAACTCCTCTAACATTCCCTTAACTTTGTGAATGGCACATTCTGAAATTGAAACCTGTTTTCCACTTGCTGTATTAAATCCAGAGAAAGCAGATGAATTTACGTTATGCGAAAAACCTTTTTGCAGTGATAGTAAATTTTGGCGGGTATGTATCACAGCATTTTCTTCTCTTGTGAACTGATCTGAATGTTCATTACTTTTAAATGGTACTTTGGAACAGAGTTGCTTGGAACTATTTTCTATCTCAGAAAACACTTGTCTTGCCTTTTGTAATGAAGTATCTGATACTTTTACAGATTTTCCACTTGCTGTGCTAAAAATCCCAGAAGCATTTGTAGAAGAGACTGACTTCGGAAACCTCCCTATGTTAAGTTCACATATATCCGAAGTTTTCAAACTAACATTAGGTGGTATTTCAGAAACTTTCTCCAGTCCAGACATACTTTGGTTATGCTGTAAAATCTGTTCACTTTGAATGTCAGCAAAAACCTTACATTTCTCATCATCTACAGAGTTAGGAAAAATATCCACTGAATCACCAAATGCCTTACAATAACCTGCCACCATGTTCATTTGGCAAGTGCCTGATTCACTCTCCATGTTTTGCTTAATAACCTTACTGCAGTTGTCCGTAAATATCTCTTTTACTTTTTTTACTGTTTCGTGTGAAACACAGACTATTTTACCACTGGCTGTACTGAATGCAGGTGGTCCTACCTCAAAATTATTTGAATCAGATATGGCCAACCTAATGGCTTCATTTTTATTTTTGTATGGTGAAGAGTTAGTCACAAGTTTTTGAACACAAATATCTTCATTTACAGTTTGTGGGTATGTGTTTGCCTCTCTTACAGGGGACATTACTTCAGAAAAACTAGTGTATTTTTGGTCATCATTCTTCACTACTGGCTCAATACCAGAATCAATTTTATTTTTTGAGAAATATCCTGAATCATCATTTATCTCATCAGAATAACATAAATAGCTGTTAGAAAAGCTACTGTTACTTAAGTAAGTTGAATCTTGTTTTTCAGAGGGATAATTGTCATTTTCAGTAATGATACTGTTTGAACTATTTTCAAACGAAGGATTTCCTATGTAATCCTCAGGGTATTCCTTTACACACGTAACCTTGGCAATATTTACTTTTTCCAGTTGGTCATCCAATTCACCTTCTCTAAGCCATTCTTTTGCTTCTAACAATGAAGCCTTACTCACAGAAATTTTTCTACCATGTCCTGTGTAAAATGCTAAAGCTGAATTTTCAATGGCTGAATAAGGAGATTGATCTGTGTAACAAATTGTAGGACTTCTAGCTGTTTCTTTTTTGACATTTTCATGTACTTTAACTTTAAAAGAGATACTATCTGATGTTTTGAAATTTTGGGTTTGTCTATTTAAATTATCACTTAAGAGCCTGGGTAGTTCCACAGTCTCATTAGAAATAAGGCTTTTCTCATTGTCATCTAGAGAATCCTGCACTTCTTCACACTTTGAGACAGCTGCTATCTTAACAGTCTCACATGCTAACTCAAGCCCTTCTTTACAGCTCTCTCTGTCCTTTAGGGTCTCTGCCCCTTGATGATTAAAACTGGTGATTTTATTAGTATCTTGTTTTTCATCAAAAAGATATTTCACTTTGTCCAAAGATTCCTTTGCAATTTTTACTTTTTTCCCACTAGCTGTATGAAAACACATCAGGGCAGGTTCGTTGATCTTTTCAATTTCACATTCTGGTTGTTGCTGGAGAGTACTCTCGCTTGGGATACTTTCTTTCAATATTTTGTTCTTAACTATGTCTGTTTCCTCATGACTTGAAATGTCCATTTTGTTCTTTTTTATGTCACCAAGTAATTTAGAATTCAAAGAAAAGTTATTCAATTCTTCCGTTTTTTGATCAAAGACATTTACAACTTTATTTAATGACTCTTTGGAGACTCTGATATTTTTCCCACCTGCAGTCTGAAAAGACATACCAAAAATCTCAAAATCTTTTATGTTTTGCTCCATCTTACTAGCAGTTAACTGTTCTTTATTTGAAGTATTAACATGACATGTTTCCTCAGCTTTCATAACTTCCAAACAAGTTAAGTCTGACAAACTTTCTTTAACTTGAGTGTTTCCCTCCTTCATAAACTGGCCAGATAATTTAAGATACACGCTGTGCTCATCTGTACACGGCAAGTCATTTTCATCTTTATGAGCAGAAACTGTATCATTTTTACTTGAATCATTGCCATCAGATTCTTCTAAGTCACAAGTGTTTCTACTGGCACCAGTACATTTGTTATCTTCACTTTCTGTATTTCTCTTGTAATGTTCAGTATTTTCTTCAACAAAAATGCCAGTCGTCATTTCAGTATTATTCTCCAAAATTAGTTGGCATTTACTATTTTTTTCATTTAAATTTTTATCATTGCTACGATTTTCTATTCTAAACATGGAAACAACAGAATCATGACATTTACTTGAAGAGAAGCTTCTTGGATCTACTTCTGCCAAAGTTTCTTCACTAATATTTTCAATGTCACTGAACAGTTTCACAGCCTTTTCCAGAGCTTCACCAGAAACATTCAGTTTTGTGCCACGAGCAGAATAAAAGCCTCTAAACTCCACTTCATTTTCATCTGTTAAATAACTAGGAGCACTTTTGTTAGAGTTGTTTTTCAACAAGCAAGCAAACTTTCGTTCAACTCGAAATGCACCTTCACATTTCTTCCTATCTACCTTACTGGCAGATGGGGCATTCACTGTGAGATGAAGCTCATCTTTCCAGTCCCCAGAAGTGGTATTTAAGACAGTCGTCTGGTTTCCAAGTGCTTTAAAAGTATCATTTTGTATCATGTGCCTTGGTTTTCTGAACTGTGTAAATTCAAACTGACTTCCTGATTCTTCCAGTATAGTAGAAAGTTCTGTAATTTCTGCCTTTTGGCTAGGTGTTAAATTATGGTTTGAATTAAAATCTCCCTTTAAAGATAATATCTGAGGAGTTGTGTGAGTATTATCACCATCAGAAACAAATGCACCATTCTGGACACACAGAGATACAGTGCTAACTGACTGTGAATCAAATGAGTAAGGTTTGCTTAGTTTCTTTTGATTATCTATCGATAGGGTATTTACAGTTTCAATACAAGTTAAACTAGTAGGATACTGTTCTTCAATATCTTTGAAGAGCATTTTGCTTTTCTTCATATTATGTTCAGAGAGTTTTATTTCTTTATTAGAAGCTGTTCTGAAGCTACCTCCAAAACTGTGACTTGAAATTGGATCTAAGAGTCCTGCCCGTTTGGCCATGTAATCATTATTTCTGCTTGTTTTCATATCTATATCCAAGGACATGTCTGATTTTAAATCTTGACTTAGAGTCATTTTTAGATGTTCCTTTACACTATTTCTATTCTCCTCTAAAAAATCACGGACTATATTTGATGAGTCAGAATCTTTTGTAATAAACACTTGGGCTGCTTGTTTGTCACCTACATCTGTATATACCATAGCAGAGTTCTTGAGATTGGGTTCTTTTACACAACTGAGTTCTGCTTCATGAAGTTCCTTAGTATTTCCTAAAACAGGATTATTCCTTTCATTACTTCTTTGAAAGACAAAATTATTTTCATTGTCTGGAAAAAGTTCTTCAGAGTTTGGACTGACAGTTATTTTTGACATTAAAGTAGTCTCTTCTTGGTCTTTTTGGATTACTGTTAGATTTGTATTTTGGTTAAATTGTACATTCCTTGAAGGTGATGCTACTGTTATATGTTTTTTGGGTGGCAACGGCTCAGCTTTTTTAGAATTTTCACTTAAAACACATATTTCTTGATTATTTTCCGTGTGAATATTTTTGATTAATTCAAAACTAGCTTCACAATTTTTATATTTTAGTTTCTCTGACAATGTGTATGAATCTTTTCCTTTAGAAACCACAGCTGAGTTTGATGAAGGATCCTTGGAACTAGGAGTTAAAATAAGGAGGGGTTTATTATCGTGGTCATATAAAAAGCTTTTCTGGGATTGAAAGTGAATACCACTACATTCCACTTCTGAATGTTGTACTGCAGGGTGACATTCTGCAGCCAAGACCTTTTCCTTTATATCTGAAGTTCTGTGGCTTTTTGGATCACATTCATACTGTCTTTTCTGCAGACATGAAGGAACATCAGTTTCTGGGGTTATAAGTGACTTCAGTTTTTCCTTATTAATTTTTGTTTCTTTACAATCAAGATCCTGAGATGTTACTGTATTATTAGAAAAACTGCTTTTATTATTGGAACATTTCTCCAGAATTGTCCCAAAAGAGCTGGTTAAGGACAAAGTTGGCTCCTCAGAAGCATTCTCTAAGCAATTTCTTTTAACAGAAGAACGTAATAAACCTAAATGTAAAAACACAAAGTGACAAAATAAAGTACCATCAATTGCTTTCACTAAATATTTTTTGCTAAGTTAAAAAGGTAATGTTTAAAACAAGAATTACATAAAAAGCAATAAGTGAATGTCAGATTTAAAACAGATGGGCCGGCCCGGTGGCGCACTGCTATAGTGCGCCGCTTGGGAAGTGCGGCGGCGCTCCCT